GGGCTTGGCAGGTCCCCTGGGATGCTGGGTTAGGGCCTGTGGTGCGTCCACAGGGAGCACGGGATTGCTGTGGTGTGGGGACAGCTGTGGCCTGTCCATGGGGACATGGGACATAGCCAGGGCACTGCTGGGTTTGTGCAGGAGCGTGTGCCGAGGGTGCTGGGCTGTGTGTCCTGCCCTGGGCTGGATGTGGGGTCCCCAGGGGCAGCGGGTTGGGGCTGGGACTGTTGCAGGGTGTTGCTGTAACGGGTGTGCATGTTCTTGCTCCTCTTTCTCCTTGCTGGGGCAGCATTTGGATGCTTAAATGCTCCCATTTGTAAGTCGTTCCTCACATCCTGCTGTTCTCAGCACCTACTTTACAGTGCTGTGCGTTTGCCCATTGCTTTTGGACTGGGAATGAGTCCTTCAGCTCACACCCACCAAAAAGTGTGTGTGTTCAGACTTCAAAAACCAGCTCAGCGGATCTGAAGTGGTGGTTGCTCTGTGTGGGCTGTGGTGGTGATGGGCATTTGGAGCCCCCAGAAAATGGTACCCCAGGGCTCCCCATTTCCCGGGTAGCTGCAGGATGTAGGTGCTGGAGGCAGGAGCAGCGTGGACTCCTCATGCGTGTGGTCTTCTCACTGTTTCATCCTCAGTGTTGGGCTTCTCCCATGTTCGAAACAGCTTGAAACACCAGAGCTGCTTGTAAAAGCCACGTTGCGATGGCTGTTACTGGTGTTTTCCTGCTTAAAGATTCCCCTTGGGTCTCCTTTAACTGAAACCCTGTTTTCTGTTTGCAGGGGCTCGGCGCTGCTTGCCTGGCAGCAATGGCGAAGCCTCAGAGCAAGGATTCTGGACTGAAGGAGAAGTTCAGGAATCTGCTGGGGCTGGGAACATCCCGAGGAAGTTCAAAGTCGTCGGAGGGCAAGCAAACAGAGTTCATCATCACTGCAGAAATACTCAAGGTGTGAGAACTGACTGTAGCAGAGGTGGGGATAGCGCCTGGATTACCTGAGCTGGGAGGGCTCGCTCATTCTCCTCTCTGTTTTCCCATTCGTTCCCCATCTGATCGTGCTTTTTTACCTTATATCTCAATTAATTCTCTAGTGAAATGGATGTAAAACTCACTTGCTTAGAAGTTACAGCATTTTATTTATCCAGTGTTTGAATAATTTTGAGGTATTTGATAGGATGGTGGTGTCTTCAGTCGGATTACAGGGTGTTTCCTCAAAATATGCTGCTCTTTGTTTATAGTCTGAGCTGCGTGAAGTTTGTGTGGTGACAGTTAACACAAGCTGGAAACTTGTGCTTTCTGTTTTATGGAAATCTTACGGTTTTGTGAAAATTAAAATAAATAAAAATTAAAAATCCAGTAATTGGTACAGCAAGTCTGTAAGCAGAATAGTTGGCACACAGGGAGGAAAAGACATAAAAGAGAGGAGGAGACCAGAATCCCTTCCTGTCTGTGCTGGAACAGCCAAGCTCTTACCTGCTGGAAGGCTGAGGAGCTGGACTTAACATCCCTCCTTTCTCTGCCCTTCTCCCTCTATAAATGGACAAAAGTACAATTCATGTTTTTCAGTGGTTCATGATCCCCTTTGAGAAATGGATAAGCATTTCTAGCAAGATAAACTGTTACCTTATTTCTACATTTCTTTCCAGGAGCTGAGCATAGAATGTGGATTAAGTAACAGGATACGAGCAATCAGTCAGATTTGTGAAGTGGCAAGAACCAAAAAAATTGAGGAGGTAAGTGTCAGAGTGGTCAGTGGATATTGGAAGGGTGAACCTTTAAGCGACAGCTCTTAACCTATCGTAAGAGGCTCCTGTGGTTTAGACTGCCTTTTGAAACTGGTAATCCCAGGAGCTGATTTGTGCTGTCCAACCTGTAAAGGGATGGATCCCAGGAGCTGATTTGTGTTGTCCAAACCTGTAAAGGGATGGATCCCAGGAGCTGATTTGTGCTGTCCAAACCTGTAAAGGGATGGATCCCAGAAGCTGATGTGTGCTGTCCAAACCTGTAAAGGGACGGCCAAGGAAATAAATCTTGTCCATTCCACCCACTGTGCAGCAGACAGGACATAGCTGATGGGCTTCCTGAACTGAATGGAAGTGCTGTGGATGTTCAGGCCTGTTAAGGACAGTTGAAGGGAGATTACATTAATCCTATAGAAGAGGTGTTTGGTAGCTCCTTCTGTCTTGTTAATAAGCAACCTCAAATTGATTTTAAACTTGTATTTGGGTGAAAGTATCTGCACAAATGTTCACACTGAATGGTATAATGAAGAACGTCAGTTATTGCTGTACAAGTTGTCACACAGGTTGGGATTTGGTGTCTCTCATGTGGTTCCTCTGAGCTTATCACCAGGCAGGGGGGGTGTCCTTCAGAAAAGGGAACTCTGGACAGGAAATCCTTGGAGATCTTGCTCGTTAGCTTGCCATAATTAATGACTGACCTACTGGGTAACGATCCCAGAGGAAGCTGAACTTTCCTACCACTGCTGTTCTCCTGTGTTTGTTTTCAGCACGCGGTGGAGGCAATATGGAAAGTGGTGGCTGATATGCTCCAGCCAGAGCGCCCCGCCGAAGCCAGACACGCAGTTCTTCATCTGCTGAAGTCAATCGTTCAAGGACAGGTGAACACCAACACTACACTTAAACCAGGGTTTGTGCAGAGTGTGGTCGTGAAAAATATTGGGTGGCTTTTTTCTGCAACTTTCCATGTTCCTTATTTCAGTTGTGTGTAGTCAATGGGAAGAGACAGCATTTGAATTTAACTTTCGGTTTGATCGCATAGCAAAACTTTTCAGACAACTCAGGGAAAGCTTTTCTGGTTTGAGGCAACGTTCCTGAACAAGAAGGAATACCCTGGGTTAAGTTCAGCATAGTACAGCAGACTTTATGGACATATTAGTCCTGGTTTTGATGTTTCAGCATGTTGAGTATGCAAGGAGTTCTGTATGAGACGCTTTTCTAGCCTGGCCAAGTCAAGCATACTGTGAATTCTTCAGATTTCACAACGTGCTGTACAAATGTAAGACACTGTCAGACCCAAGTTCTGCTTTTCAGTATTCTGAAAAAGTAGGAGTAGGTGTTTATGGAAAGAGCAGGCATTGATTCTGGTTTGTTGGGTTGTTGTTTTCTAAATGCCCTACTGGCAGTTGCCATTTCCATGAATTACTTTGTGTATTGGATGCTGTCTGGACTGAAAGCCTCCAGCCCTGAGTGCTGATCAAACGGACTGAGGAGACAACCTGAGCCATTGTCAAAAGAAAATAGCTTCAAATATGAAGATTTCTGTTATAGACCTTGATAAGGTCCAGGCCTTTACTGTCTTTTTCACGATGTTGTTTTTCTCCACCCCCTGCCCTTTTTCTTTTTTAAGGGTGAGAGATTAGGGATCCTCAGAGCACATATTTTTAAGGTTATTAAGGACTATCCCTCCAATGAAGACTTGCATGAGCGGCTGGAAGTGTTCAAGGCTCTGACAGAGAATGGACGATACATCACCTACTTGGAAGAAGAGTTAGGTCAGTGTTGCCTCTGTCCCTCTTGATGTGGTGGGAAAAAGTCAAGGGACTCCAGCGACAGGAGAAAAAGGTGGTGATAACACTTCTGGGTAGAAAGTGTATGGTAATGGTTTGTTTTCCTCCTTTAGCTGACTTTGTGCTCCAGTGGATGGATGTTGGTTTGTCTTCTGAGTTCCTCCTGGTTTTAGTCAACCTGGTGAAGTTCAATAGCTGCTATCTGGAAGATTATGTAGCTGACATGGTCCAGTAAGTTGGCTTGTTTGGTTTTACTCCTGCATGCTTACTCTTGGTAAATCAGAGGAGAAAGTTGCAGATCAATAGGCAGATAAGTGGCATCTTTTTCATCTGATCTGGATCTGTTTCGTTCCGGGTCATACCTGACACTTCAGTTTTTACAGTGTTCAGATCTGGTTTAGTTTAACTGCCTGTGCTTTCCCCATTTCCTGTGATGGACCTGATTCAGGTGCAGTTTCACGTAGGGTCTCTGCTGTTGTGTTAGTGTGTAGGCTTACTGAGCTGCATTTAGTTGCAAATTTAAGCTAACTATAAAAGAGGTTGCAGTGTTTCAGTGTCTCCAGGAGTGTTATCAACAATGCCACAGTAAGGGGAATGATGAGTAAAATAACATGCCAATTTACTTGTCTGTCTTGGCTCTTTGTAATTTGCCTAAAATCATATTAAGCAAACAGTTTTAATTAATTGTTTTTTCCTAACAGCAAGATATGCCTCTTGTGCATTCAGACTTCATCATCTGTGGACATAGAGGTCAGTAATTTCAGCCTCTCTTAGTAAGTGGAGTTCTTTGAAACTGTAACCTTTCCAAAATAAAGCCATCAGACTCACGGTTTATTCTCATCTTACAAGAGCTAGCACAATGTTATCAAGTCTTTGTAAGCCATTGGATCTTGTACACCAGTAACAGTTTTATTCTAAAACAGAGCATTGATAAATTCTGTGAGTGAATCAACTTTTCAACAGTGCTTTTTATGGTTTACTTCCCATCTTGCAGTGATTTTTTAAAAAAAGAGACATATCTGTATCGCTTTTGACTTCCAGAAGCTTTCCTGGCTCTGCCAGCTTAGGCTTTGACCTGCTCTATTCCTAGAGAAGTGTGTAACCATTATTTTCTCTGTCCCCAAGATTTCCTTGCAAGTCCTGGATGCAGTAGTTTGCTATAATTGCCTGCCATCAGAGAACCTGCCAGTATTTATCATCACTTTGTGCCGTACCATCAACGTGAAGGAGCTCTGCGAGCCATGCTGGAAGGTCAGAACTTTCTCGCAGTTTTGGTTTTTTAATGACTTGGCTGGTTTGGCCTCACAGGTGAAGTGTCAGATGTGCCTGTGCACATTTGCCATAAGTTTCAGTTGGCTTTTAAGAGCAAATTAATAATTGTCCCAAGTATTAAGGGCTCAGCACGTTGTTAGTGTAAGTCCTGTTGTGTCTGGGGAACTTCCCCTGGTGTGACAGGCTGCCTTTTCTCTAATGGCACGGAAAAGGCTGGACACATTTACTTACCATAACTGGGCACGCTTGGCCAGCTAACTGCATGGCTGCCTTTTCTCTAATGGCACGGAAAAGGCCGGACACATTTATTTACCATAACTGGGCACGATTGGCCAGCTAACTGCACGTTTAGGCTAATGAGTGTTTTAACAGTGGGATATTTAAGCGTTCTCTTTGAATTTGCAGCTTATGCGCAACCTTTTGGGAACTCATCTGGGGCACAGTGCCATCTACAACATGTGCAGGATCATGGAAGACAGGTAAAGGACAGAACCCAGGGGATTCAGTGGGCTCCTGCTGAGATACACAGGGAGTCTGAGATACACAGGGAGTCACTGACTTCAGTGGAACAAGCTGAAGGTGCTGGGGCTTAGCAGTGAATTCCCTTCCTAGTTATGCTGTTGAAGCACTCACGTTTTGGATTTTCTGAATTTAATTTTCCTTTCTTTAAAGTTGCTCTAAATAATTTTCTGCTTTTAATGTTCCTAAAAGGCTGTGCAAGGCTCTAATGTGGAACAGCTGAATCCATGGGCTGAGGCCAACTGTA